TTTGAAGCACTTTTATCTTCATGTGAAACCAAGCAAAGAATCTCCTAATCTGTTGATTTTTGACAACCACAAAACTCATATAACTTTGCAGGCTATCTTATATTACAGAGCGAAAAACATCATCATGGTTGGGTTGCCGTCGCACACATCACATCGTCTCCAGCCCTTGTTGTGTCATTTTTCGACCAGTTAAAAATGCACTATTGCGAAGCATGTGACAACTTTATGGTCACTCATCCAGAACAAACTATCACAAACAAAAATTTTGTGAGGTTTTGAGCATCACTTACTTCAAATCAGCTACAGTTGGAAATGCCGTTGAAAGGTTTCAAAGATTATGGGATCGAGCCTCTCATAATCCTCTTGTGTTTAGCGAGCATGACTATGCTGCGGTATAAACTACTAACCATGCTGCTGTTGGCGATGAAACTGAGAATAATAGAGATAATCTTCAGACCCCGGTAATAGAAAACCAACATATAAACCCTCCAGAAAAACAAGAACTTATGGCAAATGCTGATTCCGATGCATCAAAGAAGCCTGTTAGTGTTTTTTATTTTCAACCATTGCCTAAAACTACATAATGTGAGAAAAAAAAGAAAAATCAAAAAACTGAGCTCTCTAGCATTCTTACAAGCACACCCATCAAAGAATAAATGTTAGGACTAAAGGAAAAGCAGAAGGAAGAACAGGAAGTTTAAAAAAAAGACAGAGAAAAAAAGCTCGTGAAGCTAAAAAGGGTATAAAAAACTCAAACTCTTCCTTAAGTCAATAAAATCCAGGCGAAACATTCCAGTTGTATCAACCTCAAAGGACGGTGTTATAAGATGTCCTTCGCGTGAAGAGGAACCCTCCAACAGAAGAATGGATCCAGTGCTGTGTGCCAAGTGAGTGAGTGAATATTAACGTCCCACTGTTCAGCTACACGAGGTCTTTTTGGGGACGGTCCGCGTAATTTTGAACCATGGTCAAGTGACGCGGATGACACTTGAGCTGGCACCCCCTCTCCTAGCTACCACACCAACGGGAGGACGTTTGAGCTCTCGACAAATTTTACGTGCATCGCTTCCATACACGGCGGGTCTTCAGTGGTACTGGGATCGAACTCATGACATGCTAGCCCCGATCCGATGCCTAGACCACTCGGCTACCGCGGCCACGTGTAAAAGGCAAGAGTTTTGGCATGAGGAATTTCCGATTATAAAAATGGCATTTTTAATTGTGACTATTGTTAGGTACACAACTAAACACTTCAACATTACGTTACAATGCATTACGCTTAGTTTGATACTTTGTAAGATGTAAAAACTCAGTAATCATTTGTTAAACCATGTAACACTTTCAAAAGATAAAATATGTTCAACCTTTTTCAGTGTCGCCATCTTGCCCCAGTACTGGGGCAAGATGACGATTTGTGAAGTTATGAAAAAATAAAATAATCCTTAACTTCTTTTATTGGAAAAATTAAATGGTAACATATTTTAATACTACAAAGGACTACTCTAACACTTCATGTAAAATTGATTTTTATACTCTTAAAAATAAATTAATAAACAACAAAAAACTGTTAACGTCGTCATCTTGCCCCGGTCTCTCCTAATTGCTACACACATTTTTTAAAAAAAAATTGTTCATATGTTTAGTAGCGAAAACTATGAGAAATATTCATAAAGAAGAATTACTACAATTTCATTCCCATTTCAACATAAAGTGAGCAAGTATATTAACGTCGCACTATAAAGCGACACGAGGGCTATTGGCAAAGCACCTTGTAATTAATTCCAAGCGACCTTCTATGTCCAGACGACGAGGGCGAGACCTGAGCCTGCACCCCACTTTTTACTACTTTTTCCACCACAACAACATGAAGGCTTTGAGCTACGATAGATATCAGATGCATCCTCACCTCCACACGGTGGGTCTTCAGTGACAAGAGGACTCGAACTCGTGACGACCCGCCACTAGCTCCTGAGCATGAGAACTAGGCTGCAGCGGTTATACGGTGAAAAAAAGATGTTGGAAAATATATTCAAAGAACCCAAAATTCAATATAGAACAAAAGATAAATTAAAATTTTTTGTAAAATTTTTTGTCTGTTAGCGATAATTTGTATATATTTCCCCTCCGAATGAAGTGTTTTAGTAAGTTAATGCATTGGTTAGGTTGAAATAAACATTGTTTTAATATTAATTTTCTAAAGCCCTCAGACACTATTATTCTGAAACATAAAGCAAAAACAATATTTGGATTTCAAATTTAGATTTCCTTTACGTTAATATACGCGCACAGTGCAAAATATGTACTTCTAATTCATTTTACTTGTATTTTCATTTAAAACAACTTTTAAACTTGAAAGCGATAAAATGTGCTCAAAATTAGTTCCCCCACTTACAGCTCGACATTTTCATCCAAAGCCCTCCACCAAAAATTACCTTATTATAAAACATTGAAGTTGTAGTGAGAATTGCTTAGATAAAGTTCACGCATAAGATGAGTTTAATTTTCCACACTCCAACAAAACGTTCTTTCAGTGATTTGCATAGAAACAACAGAAGATGCCGCCAATAAATCATAAATAGAGGAAGGAAGGTTTTTATCCGTTTTCCTTCCCAATAAAAACACACTGGAAAACGCTCCGTTGCAACTAATCACGATATTCCTTTAGGTGGGTGGAGATGAGATGATTGATTCCCCCCTTTCGTCAGACGACATTTTCGGAACGTTTTCGTAGCGGCCCCCTCCTCTTTTCGAAAACTTGTTAACGACGATCGGCCTGCAAGTTTACGGTCGTAATTAACGTTCCAGCGAGTGACGAAAGCGTTATATTATAATGCGCATTGTATTACTGCGGTTTTCGTTAATGAAGCGATTGGGTCGGCCAGAAGATAGATGCCCCGAATCGGCCGGGTAGGCGGCGCCCCTTCGCAGCACGCGAGGTTGCCCTCGCCGCAATCGGGCGTAATTATGCAAATTTTCGCCGAACGAACTGTATCAATAGATAAAGTGCGGAGTTTCTGTCTCGGGTAGGCGTGGTTCGAAAACGCGCTCCTGCTGTTCGTTCACGTTGAGGCTGCTAGAATTTGACAGTTATCCCATTTTTTGGCGAGGAAGTTTGTATCTCATGACCTAGAAACTGAAAAAGTTTTGAATTAAAATTTGTTTAGAGCTTGCTACACAATACATTACAGAATTTGTGGCTCTGTTTAAAATGCTCGGATATAAAGAAAAAGAAAAAATGTATTAACTTCTGTCGTGTTGTATTGATTATTTTTTTTAAAAAAATGATATCTATTTATTATTTTTAAATTCTTTCAAAAAAGACAAAAGTTTAAAGATGTATGATACCAGGACGTCTTAAGGTACGGGCCAACTGGGCCCAAAGCCTCGGCCATAAAAGGGGGGCTCGTCTCGTTCTCGACTCAGCCTTAATAAGATCACGATTTGAATAATTTCAACGGTCAAATGTTTTTTGTGGTTATATTCTGGGAATTTCGGACGATATATCAACTGGCAGCATGTGATGACCGTCGTCCAGTGGCGCACACAAGGGGTGTCCTAGGGGTCTGGACCCCCGCCCCCAAAGCCATTGAGATATTTTCGATTGATGATAACCCTATATATATATATAAAACTTAAAATTTAATTAAGTACTTATAATTAACAATTAATTTTATTAATTAATACTAATTATTAATTGAATAATTTATTTTTTATTGTTTTTTGTTAACAAAATCGACAAAATCAGGAGAATCAATTGGTGTTGTCTTGAGGTATGATAAGAGTTGGGGGACTTTCGACCATGGACCCCCACAACCCCCTTGAAACATTTTTGTGTGCGCTACTGCCGTCGTCTATGTATAGGTTTAGGCCTACCAGCCAAAAGACGGCGTCGGCTGAGCCGGTTTGTGCGATTGTAAGTCATGCACATTTATTTATTTCGGGTTATTGCTTGTGCGAGAATTTGACAACGTATGCTATGTACTGTCTACTTTTATAGGTCATAGGTGGAGCCTGCATTTGTGTAAGTGCCCAGGGCCTCAAGAAGTCATATAAGACGTCTGTATAAAACATAAAGTAATTTCTGTCAGAAAAAAATAATACGTATTTCAAAGAGTAACTCGAATTATTGCAACTAATATTCGACATAATATGGGAAATATTTTTTTTGGTTTTTTTTGTTGTTGTAATATATTATTTATATAATCTCCATCGACTCACAGCGTTTCTCAATCTGCCTTCATGGTAGTTTTCTGTTTTTATTTAGAAGCCTTATGCAACCTTTTTCTGTAATGGAGCTTTGATTATCTTTTCTAAAGAAAGAGCAAATAAATTTTTTTGCATAAGTTAAAACAAGTGGAAGAAACTTGACAGAGATAAATATGGTAATAATAAATTTTAAAAAATGGTAATCCGGTCCTTCATTATTTGTGAATGCAGAGAGTGAGGCCTTTATACAAGTACTATATCAGGTATTTCACGTTATAGTAAATAAAATATGATAGTTTCAGTAGCTTTCGCAGACACCTCTTGTGGGGTTGCATTATAAGAAACACGTTGATGAAAAAGTCGAGGCAGTGGCGTAACGTACATCCCCGCCGCCCCTGCATCAGGGGGGGGGGCAGGACTCTAGTGGGCCCAAAGCCTGATGTTATGGTATTGCAATCCTTTGTAAAATCCGGCTTGGGGCCCAAAGCCTGACTTTGCAGGGGGGCCTTAATATTCTCCGTCCGTCTGTGTCGAGGGGTAATCTTTATGATAAAAATGAGAATCATTGGTCTTTAAGGAAGGATGGGTGAACCCTAACCCCTTGTGTACACCAATGGATAGTTTGTTATACAAATGAGAAATAACAAGTAATATAAAAAAGTATAAAGTGACAAAATAGAAAGCGATTTTCCTTGCAGTTTTCCATTTTTCTTTCTATATATGGTGTTGAACTATTTTTGTTTGTTTGTTGCTATTTATTCATTAATTAAATTTAATTATTCCAATAAAATCCCATTCTCAGAAATTAGGCCATCCTACAACCTTTGGATTAGAAGTCCAATGCGCTATCCATTGCGCTACAGAGACACAACGCGCCATTTTTTCTTTTTGTATATGGTGCTGGGCTTTTAGTTTTGATTGTTTCATTTTATTCATTAATTAAATTTAATTTTTTAATATTGAAAAAAACTGTATTATATAACATCAACTGTCTTCCACTACAAGTTTAAAAAAATGTATTTGAACTTGAGTGGACGAATAAAAAGTATTTTATTAACGGTTGAAAATCTGAGAACAAAATATATGTATATAGGGAGAGTGTGAACAATAATAGCAGGAATTGAAAAAGAAGTTGTTCATTTTGTATAAATAAAATACCATCTTCCAGGAAGGTGTAAATCAGACATTATTGAATTTATACAAATTTTGAGAGTTCTTATGTTAAATTGGAATTTAACATAATAATTTATTATGAATTTTATTTGAAAAGAAACATTATAAAAAAAGGGTGGGGAAAGAACCAACGTGAGGACTTTGAGCCTTAATGAATTTAACGTAATTCAGCCCCTCATCAGGAGTATAAGTATTCGAACCAATCAAATCCGTCTGAAGCAACATCGGCCACGAGTTCGTGATTGTGACTACTCTTCTATCATGTGCAGCAAACGGAGTGAGAGAGAGAGAGAAAGAGAGAGAGAGAGAGAGAGAGAGAAAGAGTTATTAACTACGGTTTACAGATACTTTCACTGTGACTTTTATACAATTTTGATGAAAACATTTGATTAGAAACAACTGTTCGCTGAATAGTTCAAATAGTCATCTTCTTTTCAAATAGAGGGAGGTCAATTATTCAGAAAAAAGAATTGTTAAGCAATTAATTTATCTTGTAACGATAATTAAAATAAAATAAATATCCTTACGGACCATACTCAATATATTCAGAAATATTTCATTCAAATTCGAATTATCTCATCAAGAAAACCTCATCACAAAGCGTCTGACAATTCAATTACTTCCTCCATCCAGATTTCGAAACAGTGCTCTTGGCGACTTTAATTTGGCATCGTAGAAATCAAGCCTCATCCCAGCAACCCCAAGAACCGTAACGGAATCTTCCGATGCAATTGGTACGTAGAGCACTCACGCGCGGGAGAGTTGTGGTTGCAGTTAAAGACAGAGAATCGGGAAAAGGAAGATCAACACAAACCAAACACTGATGCAAAAGTGGGAGGGGGACTCTTAAGTTATAATGGTGTTACGAAAAGGGAAGGGGGAACAGGAGAGCAAGAGAATTCATGGTCTGTTCATCCACCCCTTTCCAACTAAGAGCTACCGTTTTATTTTCGGGTTAAACGTGTTCGCGTGCTGAGCTTCCTCGAGATAAGGTTTAATTCTGTACACATCGCAGGTGTCCAATTTCATATTCGAATCTAAGAATATTTTCATCCGTGGAAACTTGTGGCGTCAGAGAGGGACTTACTAGTGGATTAAAACTGTATTTTAGAGCTTCGGTTCTGTTTAAATGCTTAGATTTGGATGAAAGAGAACAGGAATTAGGAGATGAAATTTTCAGTCTTGCTTGCATATTGGTTCTGTTTCCTTCCATACATATATGTGTTTTAAATGCATTCCGGTAAAAAAAAAAAAAAAAAAAACTAATAATATTTTTGTTTGCGATCCAAACACTGGTTTAAAAAAATTCTTGTATGTACTGTGCGGATTATTTTCAAATGTATGGTGGATTCTACAGCGTTGGGAAAGTTATAGTAATCCTCCTGCAACATCAGAACGATTTTTAATATCAGCTTGAAATGTCGGTAAACTAACTGGAATGTCGACTGGTATATTGTTTGAAAAAAAATAACAAATAATTATTTTTAATGTTTGAAAGCTTGTCGCGTTACCTCCTCCTCATGTTGGTTGAAGTGAAGATCTCGCTCATTATTAGAATTCGCCGGAGGGGGGGGGATTCGAAAGTAGCATGACTGGAGAAGCTATTGAATCAAACATGAAAAGATCACAAGCAAAAAAATAAATTATTAATTTAATTTTATTCTGGTATCGGACTACTTACGACAACTTTTAAAAATATGCTAAAATTAAGAAGAAAAAAAAAAGAAATTATTATTACTAAAATGAGAACAAATTGGTAAACATTTACAAAAAATTATGTAGACGGGGCCCATTCTGTACCAAAAGTTTATAAACAAATTTTCAATTTTTCAATTCTAATGTGTTGCTATGTTATTCATTTTTTAAATGACTTTCAGGATAGATATTTTTACTTTTACAAAAGCTAGAGCACTTTATCTTAGTTATTATATGAAATTGCTTAAGAAACAGTAATTATATTCACATATAGGACTGTAAATTTTGTAATAAAACAGTGATTGATAAATCTAAAGGTTAAAACACTTCTACTATTATACAGAAAATACACAAAAAATTTCAGTTAATTATTTTCAAAACTTTTTTAGCAATCACTTTTCCCATTTGAGCATTTAAAAATACACATTTCGAGTAAAACGCATTTTAAAGTATGGCATCTTGCTTAAAGTAATGGCATCTGCTTTTACTAAAACACTTGTAGTTTTTGTTCTAGTGAACGAAAATAATAAACTTGGTATTTTTATAAAGCTAATAAGATGGACTATAAAATAAAATCATTAAAAAAATTAATCAATTCTTGGCAAAATTCACAATTTTAGGGGAGTCGGATACTTAACCAAGCAATAAATACGACTACGCCAAATGCAAACAAGATGATTAAAAGGGTATGAATCAATTCTGTTTCTTGTCTGTACGAGACGTACTCTTGACTTTGATTATTTAATAACAGACTCAATCATGAATTTCAGAAGTTAATAAGACAATAGAGCCTTGGTATCTATCTATATATGTACTGGTAATATCATCCACAATCCACTATTAAATATTATTCGGTTGTGAAGTTCACTTGTATTGAGGCTTTATTATAGATTAAAGTGCCAATTCGGCTGAAGAAGACCCGAGCCAGAGACTAGTCCTAGCGTATAGCACATTTTTACAAACTTAAAAAAAGTTTGAGACCACACAAAGATTTTATAATAATGTGCTTATAATAAATCTTTTCAAGCAAAATTGATTTTATGATCCCCGAGATTATGAATTTCTTTTTTTTAAAATCACGTTAGTAAATGTTAACAGAAACGTATTTTCAGTAATTAAATATGTTTTTTAGCAATGCGAATATCTTTTTTATTTTTATTTTGGAAATTAAAATTATATATAATTAATGACCCAGGTTAAGATCATAAAGTTGATTACAATTTAAGACTGCCCTTAATAAACAAAATATTCATATACTTCTGTAAAAGCAATACATAGAACAGAATAGTAAAATTTTTTAACAAAACAACTCATTAAATATATATTTCGCTGTTTAAATTACACTTTTTTCTTTTAAAATCATTTACATTAAAGGCTAAAATATAATGGACTAAATTCCTTTGTAATGGATCTAACCTATTACAGTCCCTGTTCACCAATCAAAATTCATCTCATGGAAAAGATTCGTGTCATTTAGAAGAACAATGGATCTTCATAGTGAAATGCTAAAAAGTTCTCAAAAGAGAAAAAGCCTGCCCAACTGCATTGAAGTTATTACTAAGGTTCACACAGTTTATGTTCAAAATAAGATTTGTTAAATTCATGTTATTTTTAGATTTAAAAATTTTAACATACGCATTAAAAAAAAATCGATTTTTTAATTTTAGTTTTAAAAAATAGTGCATATTTTTTTTAATCTAAAAATGTATAACACTCATATGTTCGTTGATAAGGTAACCTAAAATATGAAAAAAGTAATTCATAAAAATGTAAGCAAACGACCACGCCTCCTTTGACACATTTTAAATGTGTTTAATCTACGTAAGCTCTTAATTTGTTTTTAATAGAAATGAACTTTATTTTTCTTTTTTTAATACCTATTTTTTTTGAAAAAAGTTTTACACACACACACACACACACACACACAGAGAGAGAGAGAGAGAGAGAGAGAGAGAATGTTTAAAGTGTCATTATGAGGTATAGAAAAATAGGCAGGAAAATATTAGTCAATATTATGATATGTGAAAACATTGCTACTTTTAATTTTTACACTTTTTCTCCAAAGCATAATTTTTCCTTAAGGTACGCTTTAAAAAAATTATTGCACTATGTGGTTCCTAATTTTTTATACTTCTATACAAGATACCTGTGCATACAATAAACCTATTTTTTTTTTAGTCTAAATAGTACATAATTTTTGAAAAAAAAAATTAGTTTTATGGACGAAAATAGAAGGAGGGAGGGGGGATAAAAATTTTCGAAAGGTACAAAGTTTTATAGTTTTTTTTTTAAAGAAAATATCTTAATATTTTACTGAAAATAGATTTACTGTATTTTGTGTATTGTTTTATATATGTGTAAAAATATTTTACATATTTAAGAGATACTTAAAAAAATAATACCTAAACATAAGCATGTATTATGAGATCTCAAAAAGTATGTCCAATTTAAATTAAACAGAAAAAAAATTAATCAACAAATTATTTTTGTACTTCGAAAATTTTTAAGGATATGTGTTCCATGAATAAGGAGTCTTAATTTTGGCATTTTACTCTTTCGAGTAAAATGCCAAAAAAATTTTCTGGTACCCTTAAATGAAATATTTCATACGTGTATAGTTCGACAAATTATTAAAATCTGCTGAAATTTTTCGGTTAGAGTATCCGACTACCCTAAAATTGTGCATTTTGCCAAAAATTGACAATTTTTTTTTATGATTTTATTTTATATGCCATCTTATTAGTTTCATAAAAATACTAAGTTTATTATTTTCCGTTCACTAGAACAAAAACTACAAATGTTTTAGTAAAAGAAGATGCCATTATTTTAAGCAAGATCTCATATTTTAAAAACGCGTTTTTACTCAAAATGTGTTTCTTCTTTTTTGTTTTGTTTTGAAAATGCTCAAACGGAGACAGCGATGGCTAAAAAAATTTTGAAAATAATTAACTGAATTTTTTTGTGTATATTCCGTATAATAGTAGAAGTGTTTTAACGTT